AGCGTACACACACTGCTGCGATTGAAGAAAAATAGAATAAAATGTGCTGATTTCTAATCTTATATAGAAATAAATGTTGTATAATTCAGATTGAGAATATACAGATCTGTACTTGCATCACTCAGATCTTCACTCATCCGGTTTAAAATAGTAATTGATGTAGTTTATTCGCTGTTAGGGTGCTCTCTCTGCTCGGCGGATGAGCCGACTGAACCGCCGGTTGTGTGTGTGTGTGTGTGTGTGCAGATGACGTGGCCTTCTACGAGTGGGCCGTCCCGGAGGGAGAGCGGCACGAGTCGGCCCTGAAGAGGAACAGAGAGAGTCTAGTCTCCGAGCTGAAGCTGTGGGACGGGTACTTGGAGAAGGTTGTGTTTTAAAGTCAAGTCCGCTTTATTTCTACAGCGCTTTATACAATACAGTTTGTCTCGAAGCCGCTCCACAGTGATAAAGTGGAAAATAACACAATCAGTGATGCAAACTTCATCAAATATTAGTCAAATCCAGCTGTAAATCAGATAAATTCAGTTTGTTTTCTTCTGATAGTGTAAGATCAGTCAAATCAATATTACTGAATGTCCTTTAAACCCCAAGTCATGAAATCGAACTTGAAACCATTTATTAGCAATATAAATGATCCATTTATGTATACAGATTCCTGGTCTCATTATGAACGATGCATGTTGTTCTATAGATGATCTCTTCATATTTCCATATCTGTAAATGTAATAACTCACAACAGCAGCTGCAAACACTGGCTATTAGTGGAGCAAGTAGATGCAAACTTTCCATTCCTTTGTTAGATTGATTGCATTATGAATACCATGTTTGTTCAATTCCTGCCTTTTAAGTAGAGGATAACTATTGCCATAACCTTTCACTTCATCAACCTTTGTCCATTGAACTTGAACCCTTATTTGTGGTCCTGATAAACTGTGGTCTGTTGGTCAGATGGGGAAAGGGTCGTTCCTCGCCGGCAAGAGCTTCACCATGGCGGACGTCGTTTGTTTCCCAGTTATCGCATATTTCCCACGATTTCAGTGAGTAAAACCATTATCAATCATAATGTCAGGTTAAGGTTTGGATCAGAGGCTGGCTTAAAGGGATAGTTCACCCAAAAATGAAAATTAGCCCATGATTTACTCTCCCTCAAGCCATCCTAGGTGTATATACATTCTTCTCTCAGACAAACACAATCAGAGTGTATTCACACCAGGAAAGTCCGATAGTTCACTTGCCTTGGTCCGGACCAAATAAATAGATTTTTTCTTTTTTTGGTACGGTTCGCTTTCACACTGCTCTTTTTGCAAGTGAACCAAAATTTGTCAACAAGACCACACGTGTGCTAAGGTCGTCCATTCATTGGACAAGGATTCTCAAGTAGGGAAATCAGGAAGTGCAAAAAAAGGCTCAGCATGGAGATATTTCGTACTGCAATATTTGTTCTTTTACTAATTTTTTGTTATTCTGTACAAACGCAATATGAAGAAACTAATGAGTATCATATGATACAATGTTTCCCATAACGCAACTCCGACTACGGAAGCCTGTTAACTCAAAGGCGCAGTGCTTTCTTGCAGTTGGGTCGGTTCATGTTCACACCGTAAACGAACCGTACCAGAGTTCGTTTGGAAGCGTACCGAGACCACCTCTTCAGCTGGGTCTCGGTTCGGTTGTTTGGTCCGCACCCGAGTTCGATTGCTGTATTCACACCTGCCCTAAAGGTCCGCACCAAAGGGGGAAACGAACTAGAGTTCGATTCAATCGAACCAAACAAGGCAGGTGTGAATACACCCTCAGAGTTATATTAGAAAATGTCCTGGCTTTTCCAAGCTTTATAATGGCAGTGAATGGATATATTTTTTTGATTCCATAAAAGTGCATCTGTCCATCATAAAAGTGATGCACTTTTATGGACTTGAGAACAGAATCAGTCATTCACTGCCATTGTAAAGCTTGGAAGAGCCAGGACATGTTTAATATAACTCTGATTGTGTTCGTCTGAGAGAAGAATGTCATATACACCTAGGGTGACTTGAGGGAGAGTAAATCATGGGCTAATTTACATATTTGGGTGAACTATCCCTTTAATGTTTAATGTTCGACTGGTTTGATCTGTTTTTTATTGTTTGACTGGTTTATTGTTTGACTGGTTTATTGTTTGATTTGTTTGACTGGTTTAATATTTGACTGGTTTAATGTTTGACTGGTTTGATCTGTTTGACTGGTTTAATGTTTGATCTGTTTGACTGGTTTAATGTTTGACTGGTTTAATGTTTGACTGGTTTAATGTTTGACTGGTTTAATGTTTGACTGGTTTAATGTTTGATCTGTTTGACTGGTTTATTGTTTGACTGGTTTAATGTTTGACTGGTTTAATGTTTGACTGGTTTAATGTTCGACTGGTTTAATGTTTGATCTGTTTGACTGGTTTATTGTTTGACTGGTTTAATGTTTGACTGGTTTAATGTTTGACTGGTTTAATGTTTGACTGGTTTAATGTTTGACTGGTTTAATGTTTGATCTGTTTGACTGGTTTATTGTTTGACTGGTTTAATGTTTGACTGGTTTAATGTTTGACTGGTTTAATGTTTGACTGGTTTAATGTTTGACTGGTTTAATGTTTGACTGGTTTAATGTTTGACTGGTTTAATGTTTGACTGGTTTAATGTTTGATCTGTTTGACTGGTTTATTGTTTGACTGGTTTAATGTTTGACTGGTTTAATGTTTGACTGGTTTAATGTTCGACTGGTTTAATGTTCGACTGGTTTAATGTTTGACTGGTTTAATGTTTGACTGGTTTGATCTGTTTGACTGGTTTAATGTTTGATCTGTTCGACTGGTTAACAGCTGTCCTAAAGAGAAATGTCCCAGACTGATGGAGTATTATGAAATGGTGAAGGATCGTCCCAGTATTAAGGCCAGCTGGCCTCCACACTGGCTGGAGAAACCCGAGGGTCAGGACACACTGAAGAACCTGTGAGGAACATCGAGATGTTCAGCGGATCACATTCATATTGCATAAAGTTCAGCTTTGATATATTCAGTAATTGCCTTTTGGTGGTTTTCTAACAGTCCTTTAATCAATTCCCACCTACAACTGTTCAATCCCAGCTCTTGTCTTTCATTTGTGTAACGTTCTCAGCATCTGTTCTGTCACTTCTCCTCGATTCAGCCGCCGCTTAATCTGGGCACTTTCCAGCAGTTTCTAAAGATGAAGCTCACTGTTATCGTCTGTAATGGCAGATTAGCATGTTTGGGATTAATAAAGTTTTATCATGTTCAATCAAACTGAGGAAAATATTTACCATCATTACAAGAAATGGATTTTGTGCTAATAATTTAAAACTGAACCATATTTTTAACTTTGAAATGGGGTCTTTGTTTACTTTAGCATGTTTAGCAGACGTACCGTGTTTTCAATGGCGTCCGCTGTATAAAACTCCTGATCACTTCTCATTGTCATTGTGAAGGTGAGTGTGTACTGGCTTGATCAGTTCTTCGTGGGGTTTCGGGAAGAACATTTATGGGACATTTGTCAGATTTCGTTAGTGATTTGAAATATGGAATTTAAATGCAAGTTTAACTAGCTTTTAAGATTTCCCCATTCAAGGAGATATTGGACGCCCGAGACTCCTCGAAAGGGACTTTACAGTGCTTACTATTAAACAATTAACAGGTTTTTACGGTAGTACTTTTTACAGTTAAAATTACAATCATTTTTTTAAAGTGAACAAATCATAAAATATACACAAATGCATTCATACGAAGGTGTTTTTATGTATTGAAGGACATTATCTCAGAAACACACATCCACTCAAACACTGACAGTGTCTTCCTTCAGAAAGGGTTTATTGCCGGCGGTGAACGCATGCGATCGAAGTGGAAAAATGTTACAAGGCTTTCAATTCTGCAAAATGAGTTCCCTCCTAAACATCTCAGGCGTGAAACAGACGAGCGCTGGGGATCGTCTGCGTTTGTGTTCTGAAATAACAGTAAAACTCAACACAAGTTTCTGTTCAAACACTGTAAACTAAAAACTAATGTTACTGACGAGATCTGAGCACGTCCTCTAAAACACTTTTAAATGAACACGTACAGAAAATCATCAGACAGCAATCTACAAAAACAAAAGGACAATAACATTTTTTACAGTCTCGTTCATTGTCAAAAATAGTTTCACCGTTCTGTACATTTAACAATTCCTGGAGACAGAATGCATCTGATGTAGATTTCATATCAATCTTTAGTTATTTATACAAGTCATGTTTTCTCATAAAACTCCCGTATTAAGGTGCAACATGATGGCTCTTATTACGGCTGGAACCAACAAAACCTCCTTCGAAACACACAATCAGAAGCAGCAGCTGGAGAACTAGTTGAACGTAATGGAGGACGTGATGTGACGGAGCCTTAGGATTGGCCAAACCACATGAAGGAGTTTATTATCCTCGTTCCTTCTGTGTCAAAGGCACAATCTACCGTAACACTCGCACAGAAGACGCTACAGAAAGCAGAAGACGGCAGTGGATCATGAAACACGTCATTCTTCAAAAAGCACAGACGCGCGTCACTTAAAACACCAGAACTGCAATATGGCAAAAGATATAAAACTCAACAGTTTTTAAAAGATCCGATGGCGGAAACGTCTGGAATCTGTGTGTGTTTTACACCCGTTTCACTGTCAATAAACAGATTTAATGCTCTTATCTTATAGATTTTGTAATAAATAAACCAAAAGTATCAAAAAGGTCAATTTTCCTGACCTGACTGATGCACACAACGTGATTTAAAGCTTCATTCATCGCTCCTCTGTGTCTGCCATTCGAGATGAGTTTTAAATAGAAATAACTCAAATGAAGATGACAGAAAACCCTGAGTTAGTGTTCAGTCGGGGCTAAAACATCGTCGTTTCACTCAATTCTAAAAAGTCACAGTGCAGGCTTGTGATTGGCTGGTGAGGTGTGATGTAATGAGGGCGTGGCTTAGAATAAAACGAGGCGGAGCTGTGACGTCACTCTATATATGATCAGGTGATTCGTTAATAAGATGCGTTTACTGTGGGATCTTGGGTGTTGTGTTGTCCTGAGGTGAGTTCTGGGAAGGCGTCAGTGTGGTTCAGTTCGGGACGTCCCGTTACACCGGCATCTCCGACGTGTCGAATCCCAGCGCCTGGGCTTCTTCTGGGGTCAAGCCACCCTTCAGAGTCCGTCTCACTGAGACACAAGAGCAATCATCATCAGCTTTAGTCAATGACATTCGCTACAGGAACTGGTTATTAACCCTATAAACACACATTTAGGCTGACGTCGAAACTTTTCAAAAAGACTATCGTTTCAGGCTTCACAGGGTTAAAGGAGGAGTTCACTTCAGAATTTAAATCTCCTGATAGTTTACTCTCCCGCACGTCGTCCAAGATGTTCATGTCTTTCTTTCTTCAGTGGGAAAGAAATGAAGGTTTTTGAGGAACACACTCCAGGATTTCTCCATATAGTGTCTTCAATGGGGTCCAACGGGTCGAAGGTCCAGATGTGAGTTTCAGTGCAGCTTCAAAGTCTCGACACGATCCAGCCGAGGAATAAGAGTCTGATCTAGACAAACCAGCCGACATTTATAACAAAATACACATTTATATACTTTTTAACCACTAATGCTGGCCTTGCACTCGCTGTGATGCGACACACACTACGCGATCAGGGTGAAAGGTCAAGCGTGACGTAGGTGTAAGGACAGATCTAGTGTTTACAGAGCGAACGTGCAAAGACTGAGTCAAACGCCATTTACAAAACAATAAATAAATAAAAGGTAAACCAACGATGTCGGACGATTTTGAAGTTGTAGAATAGGGCGGAAAACTTTTTTTTTTACTCCATTTCTGAACCAGAACACGCTTGACCTTTCACCCTGATCACGTAATGCATGAGGTCGTGGACCTGCAAGACCAGCATTAGTGGTTAAAAGTATATAAATGTGTATTTTGTTATAAATGTCGGCTGGTTTGTCTAGATCAGACTCTTATTCCTCGGCTGGATCGTGTCGAGACTTTGAAGCTGCACTGAAACTCACATCTGGACCTTCGACCCGTTGGACCCCATTGAAGTCCCTATATGGAGAAATCCTGGAGTGTGTTCCTCAAAAACCTTCATTTCCACTGAAGAAAGAAAGACATGATCATCTCGGACGACGTGCGGAGAGTAAACTATCAGGAGATTTTAATTCTGAAGTGAACTCCTCCTTTAAGAGATTAACGTACGTGATTTCCGGTTTACGCGTGAGCGTCGGCGTTCGCGGGGTTGCGCTCGTTCTCTGGGACTCTGAGTGGCCGAACGCACGATCCGGTCCATGATGTCATCGGCAGCGTCGTCCGTCACACACGGGGACTCTTCGTTCGCAGCGGCCAATGCGGTGCGTCCTACAGAGAGAGAAACACACACACACACACACACACACACACACACACACACACACACACACACACTCATGAGGAGGATGCAGGTTCGCTTTATCTCAGTGCATTCTACATCTTAAAGGGATAGTTCACCCAAATATGAAAATTAGCCCATGATTTACTCGCCCTCAAGCCATCCTAGGTGTATATTTGTTTATTTGTTTATTTAAAAGGATCCCCATTAGCTGACGCCGAGACGACAGCTAGTCTTCCTGGGGTCCAAACAATACATCCAAAAGCCAATAATTACAAACACAATTACTCCCAAAAATATCATATATAAATACACAAAAACAAAATAAAAACAACAACAACAACAACAAAAAAATAATAATAAAGAATAACATAGCACATAATGCAACCTCACTCATACCAATCCAGACGATATTATGATGTTGAAAACCAATACAGTCTTAGTCTTTTTTTAAAACCAGTTTTTTTTTTAAACCAGTTTTTCCCTTGATTTCACGAACCCCAACAGGAAGATTGTTCCAAAATACAATTGACCTATAAAACACAGTCCTCTTCATAGAGTCAGATTTAGGTAGGGGTAAAGAAATCTGTCGACTATTCACCCCTCTTGTGTAATGTGAATGGATATCTGAACAATAAATTATATTATCATAAAGAAATTTAGGAATCCGAGTGTTAATAATTCTATGAAAATATACTAACATATTAACAGATAGTCTATGCTTGACCAACAGCCAAGCAAGACGTTCATGCATCTCTGCAACACTAGTTCTCGAAGAACAACCGAGAACCAGTCTTGCAGCCTTATTTTGCGCCACTTGTAATTTTTTTTAAATGACTGCTTGATGCAGCAGACCATACAACAGAACAGTAATCCAAATGACACAAAACCAATGTACAGACAACACGACTAAACAACTGTATTTTTAAAAACTGTGCACATTTACGCACTACTGCAACAGCTCTACCCATTTTAGCAACAACTTGTGATCAGACCATGACAATGTGGAATCGAGCCAAAGTCCCAGAAGCTTCACCTTTTTTACTTGCTGTACATTTTGACCATTTACTTGTATATTAATTTTAGGATTATCAGATAATCTATACTTAGAACCGAATATTATACTCACAGTTTTTGAAATATTTAGAACAAGTTTATTTGTTTTTATCCAATTATCCAATTTGCTAATCTCGCAAGACAGAACCTGATTAAGCTCTGAACATGTAGGGGCTGCATAATAAAGAGTAGAATCATCAGCAAACATAGTCAATGTAGCCTTACTGAGTATATACGGCATATCATTTGTAAATATTGAAAATAACAAAGGTCCGAGGCAACTTCCTTGAGGAACACCACAATCCAGGGACTTGCTACTAGATAATGCACCATTAAAATAAACTCTTTGCGACCTCTCCGACAAATAGCTCTTAAACCACTTGATTGCTGAGAAAGTAAAACCATAACTAATAAGTTTAGAAATCAAAATTTCATGGTCAATCACATCGAAGGCAGCACTGAAGTCTAGTAGTAGTGTACCCACTAGCATTGAGTTATCAATTGATGTTAGCCAGCTATCCGACATTTGTGTCATTGCAGTGCAGGTGGAATGACCATACCTATAAGCATGCTGAAACATCGTAGTCAAATCATTGTTAGAAAAGTAATCTTGCACTTGCTCAAATACAATCTTTTCCAATAATTTACTTAGAATAGGCAAGATGCTAATAGGCCTACTATTTGGACCACAGAAAGTTGATTTTGTGTCTTTGGGTAAAGAAATTATCTTACCCTCCTTCCAAAGTTTTGGACACACACCACTAATCAGACATCTGTTAAAAATGTGACAGATTGGTTTAGAAATATGTCCAGCTGATAACTTCAACAGCCGACTATCCAAGTTGTCTGTACCAGCAGACCCACCAAAAGTCAAAGATCTCAATAACATTTCCACCTGCACAACATTAACCTGATGAAATTCAAAACTACACAGTTTATCTTTCATAATACACCTTTCAATTAGCTCATCTGAGTTGGAATCAACAGTGTATTTCATTGACTCTCTAAAGCTAGAAACTTTATTAACAAAATAATCATTAAAATAATTTGCAATCTGTATTGGCTTAGTCAAATAAACTCCATTCAATTCAACAAAAGAAGTACAAGTCGATTTTTTCCCCATGATTTCATTGAGTACATTCCACATTCTCTTACTATCTGTACCGCTATCATCAATTCTCTTCTTAAAATATTCTTTCTTTTTCACTCTGTTCACCTTGGTCACCTGATTCCTTAGAATACAATACAATTTTCTGTCCTTAAGAGAGTCAGAAATAACCGCAACCTTTTTAGCCTCTTCCCTTTGAGCCATTAAGCTCCTTAACTCAGTATCAACCCAAGGAGCACTTTTGGCTTTAACTGTAAATTTCTTTAATGGGGCATGATTGTTAACAACTCTCATAAAACAATCCATAAATAAATTAAGGGATGCATCAACATCATCAATTTCACTTATCAAATTCCATTTAATATTCTCCAATTCATTTAGAAAACTCTCCTCATTAAATACCCTATAAGATCTTTTCATAATAATTTTAGGACAGGCTCTAGGTAACTTAGTTCTCCTGGAGACAGCAATACAGTTGTGATCACTAAAGCCAACTGTTACAGAAATGGGTATTGAGCACATATCAGGATTATAAGTGTAAATATGATCAATACATTTTGATGTTAACAATCCTGTATTGTTACTAGAAATTCTTGTTGGTTGATCCATTAATTGAGATAAACCACATGTGTCTGTCATGGTTTTAAGCTTGTTCTTCAAAGGACAAATATCAGACAGCCAATCAATATTTAGATCACCCAACCAGTATAGCTCTGTTTTCCTCAGTCACTTTATCTAGCATATTACATAAACCATTTACATACTCTATCCTGGCACTAGGTGGCCTATAACAACCAAGAATAATAGGTTTTAAATGAGGAAGATGTACCTGTAACCACAACACTTCAACATCATCAATCATTAAGTCATGTCTCAGTTTAACAGGGAAATGATCCCGTATATAAATGGCCACACCTCCTCCAAACCTGTTTCTATCATTTCTATAAATTGAAAACCCCCCTATATCAACATCTGAATTGTCTATGAAGTGATCCAGATGAGTTTCAGAAATCATAAGTATGTCTATTTTGTTCAGTTGCAAAAATAAAGACAGATCTTGAATTTTGTTCCTTAGACTACATATATTAATATGTGCAAGGATTAAACCTTTAGGTAATTTATTTATTCTGGTCATCTTAATTAAAAGTAAATAAGTCCTATATTATAATGTAGTTAAATATCTTGTACCCTAAGTTATTATAACTTCAACAAGTAGGCTACATACATATAAGTCCTGCACACAGACACACATGCATGTACACAAACATATATAAAATTGAGCTTAAAAGCTCATTAAGACAATAACTGACTTTGTCCATCTCTTGGGGTGATAATCAGTTTATCATACTTCAAACTCGCTTTTCTAGCAGCTTTCACCTTCGGCCACAACTCTTTCCTCCTCAATTGCACAGCTTCAGAGAAATCTTCATTAATGTAGATCTTAGTGCCCTTTAATTTCTTGGCAGAAGAAAAATCAGCTCTCTATCTTTAATGCGAAGAAGTTTGACAACAATTTTCCTCGCCCTTCCCCTCTCCTGAAACTGACCAAGTCTCTGGGCACGCTCAATGTCCATATTTATTCCATCCAAGCCCAAGTTTTTTGAAAACATATCTCGCACCTTTTTCTCTGATTCACACCAATTCTCTCCTTTCTCGTCAGCAATGCCATCAATTAAAATATTTGTTCTCCTGTTCTGGTTTTCAATGTACTCAAGCTTGTTGAACATTGCATCCAACTCCTGCTTGGAAGAAGTAATGTTTGTCTCAAATGCCCTCATCTTTGACTCAATCTCAGTGCATCCCATCTTCTCCTCTTCAAACTTTGTTTGGGTAAATTCCAAGCTGGTCTTCAGCTCCTGTACATCTCTGATAACACCATCCAATCTTTTGTTAGTTCCATCCATGATCAGCTGAATGAAACATTTGAAGTTATCTTGCTGCTGCAATAACATATCTTTATAGATCCCTCTCTGCTGCTCCATTAACTGGGAGAGTACACTCATTGTGACAACAGCATCCTCCTCACAAGGAGATGTTTTAGCATTTTTAGGCGGCATAATGTGTCTTACCAGGATGTACCAGAAGTTGATGAAAGTTGCAAATGTTGATGGTGACAGATTTGTTTGTCAAGGTCCTAGTAGGCCCAAAAGCCCATCAACTTGGGCTACAGCCCAAGCTCAGCGGATAGTAGAAATATTGTCCCCAATATTGAGACGCAGTTTAATTAAAATGCAACTTGAGACAATAACCACTAAATTTTGGGAATACCAGAAAGGATTCAATAGATTTTTTGTTAGATTCTAAGAGGCCAGGTTCTCAGACAAAACTCCTGGCGGCCATCTTGCAAAAAGGGTGAGTTTCTTCTCTCAGACGAACACAATCAGAGTTATATTAAACATGTCCTGGCTCTTCCAAGCTTTATAATGCCAGTGAATGGGTGATTCTGTTTAAAGACCATAAAAGTGCATCTGTCCAATAAAATTTAAATTTTTGGATGAACTATCCCTTTAATGCTGACGTGTGTGTGTGTGTGTCTCACCTCTGCCGGCTCGTGAGCGTGTGTGTGTGTGTGTCTCACCTCTGCCGGCTCGTGAGCGTGTGCGTGTGTGTGTGTGTGTGTGTGTCTCACCTCTGCCGGCTCGTGAGCGTGTGCGTGTGTGTGTGTGTGTGTGTGTGTGTGTGTGTGTGTCTCACCTCTGCCGGCTCGTGAGCGTGTGTGTGTGTGTGTGTGTGTCTCACCTCTGCCGGCTCGTGAGCGTGTGTGTGTGTGTGTGTGTGTGTGTGTGTCTCACCTCTGCCGGCTCGTGAGCGTGTGTGTGTGTGTGTGTGTGTGTCTGTCTCACCTCTGCCGGCTCGTGAGCGTGTGTGTGTGTGTGTGTGTCTCACCTCTGCCGGCTCGTGAGCGTGTGCGTGTGTGTGTGTGTGTGTGTCTCACCTCTGCCGGCTCGTGAGCGTGTGTGTGTGTGTGCGTCTCACCTCTGCCGGCTCGTGAGCGTGTGTGTGTGTGTGTGTGTCTCACCTCTGCCGGCTCGTGAGCGTGTGCGTGTGTGTGTGTGTGTGTGTGTGTGTGTGTGTGTGTGTCTCACCTCTGCCGGCTCGTGAGCGTGTGTGTGTGTGTGTGTGTGTGTGTCTCACCTCTGCCGGCTCGTGAGCGTGTGCGTGTGTGTGTGTGTGTGTGTCTCACCTCTGCCGGCTCGTGAGCGTGTGTGTGTGTGTGCGTCTCACCTCTGCCGGCTCGTGAGCGTGTGTGTGTGTGTGTGTGTCTCACCTCTGCCGGCTCGTGAGCGTGTGCGTGTGTGTGTGTGTGTGTGTGTGTGTGTGTGTGTGTGTCTCACCTCTGCCGGCTCGTGAGCGTGTGTGTGTGTGTGTGTGTGTGTCTCACCTCTGCCGGCTCGTGAGCGTGTGTGTGTGTGTGTGTGTGTGTCTCACCTCTGCCGGCTCGTGAGCGTGTGCGTGTGTGTGTGTGTGTGTGTGTGTGTGTCTCACCTCTGCCGGCTCGTGAGCGTGTGTGTGTGTGTGTGTGTGTGTGTCTCACCTCTGCCGGCTCGTGAGCGTGTGTGTGTGTGTGTGTGTGTGTGTGTCTCACCTCTGCCGGCTCGTGAGCGTGTGCGTGTGTGTGTGTGTGTGTGTGTGTCTCACCTCTGCCGGCTCGTGAGCGTGTGCGTGTGCGCAGGGCTGGAACCACAGTGGTGTCGCTGCTGTCGCTGCTCTGAACGCTGGTCTTCAGCACCGCCTTCATCTGCTCGTGTTCGGCGGTGTCTTCAGCGTGACACAAACCCTGCGGCTCCGTGTGTGTCCCGACAGGAGGAGCACTGCTGCTCACACACACCCGACCCGCCTGGACACACACACACACACTGACCATCACGGACTATACAAGAACATCTTTAGACATGATTACAGCTGCCTACACTTTTGGAGGATTAGTTTCCTGTCTGTAATATATAACAGGGATTCCCAAACTGGGGTTCATGAGGTCATGAAAATAGTTAATAATTAATAAAATCATAAAAATGTCAAGCAAAAATTAAAATAAATAAATAAAAGCAATCAAAACATAAAATCATAAAAAAAGATCAAATAAAAAACGAATCAACAAATTAATAATTAAAATAAAAACCATCAAAACAACAATATATATATATATATATATATATATATTCAAAATAAATAAATAATGTTAAAATAAAAAAAACTATAAAAAATAGATCATTTAAATAAAATAACACTAACAATAATAAAATCATACATTTGAAATATATAAATAATCTTATTAAAAACAATTAAAATAAATAATTTAAAAATAAAATAACACTAAAATAATAAAATCGTAAATTTAAAATAAACAAATAATGTTGAAATAAAAAACAATTAAAATAAATTCCAAACATTCCAAATAAAACACTAAAACATTCAGTACTGTGCAAAAGTCAAAGCACGTTAATATTTTAGTATTACACACAAAAAAGATTTTAAGCCAGTTATATCTTTTGCTGTAGTGTGTATATCAGTAAACATCAGTTTACATTTACTGTAATTAACTGTAATAATCCAGTGCAGAAGGAGCCTGACAACAGCTGGTCTGACCTCTTCATCTGCCTGAGCCTTGCACAGGACTGGATATTATATGTGTTTACCTGCATGTCATGTGACCATTAACTGTGAATGTGTTGATAAATGAATATTAAACTTAAAATCTTAGTGCCACTTCAAGAAAATATTGCAGGTCAAATGGGATTGGCTGACAAAAAAAGTTTGGGTTTCTGATGTAAAGAATCATTTTTTGCACAGATAGAATCTATAATCTACACAACAGACAGAGATTCTGTCATAAACCTGAAACTCTCAAGTTAACACACACACACAAACACACCAGACCAAATCAAGACAAAAACACTGCTGAGCATTTCCAGGTTAGTGAATCTGTACAGGGTTATTCAGTGAGACTCAATCAGATGCTGTGAGCTTTAACAAACATCCAGTTATAAGACATTAACGGTTAATATCTGCCAGAACAAACACCCTCATACCTCACTGTCCTCTTCATCATCAGTCTGTGGTGAGAGAGAGAAATGCAGGATGAACAGACGGCTTACAGTCTCTAGTAGTGTGTTATTGATTCTGGGTGACCACTGAATAATCAGAACTCTAGCTCCGCCCACATCACTGAATAATCAGAACACTCTAGCTCCGCCCACATCACTGAATAATCAGAACTCTAGCTCCGCCCACATCACTGAATAATCAGAACACTCTAGCTCCGCCCACATCACTGAATAATCAGAACACTCTAGCTCCGCCCACATCACTGAATAATCAGAACTCTAGCTCCGCCCACATCACTGAATAATCAGAACACTCTAGCTCCGCCCACATCACTGAATAATCAGAACTCTAGCTCCGCCCACATCACTGAACAATCAGAACACTCTAGCTCTGCCCACATCACTGAATAATCAGAACTCTAGCTCCGCCCACTTCACTGAATAATCAGAACTCTAGCTCCGCCCACACCACTGAATAATCAGAACTCTAGCTCCGCCCACATCACTGAATAATCAGAACTCTAGCTCCGCCCACACACTGAATGATCAGAACTCTAGCTCCGCCCACACACTGAATAATCAGAACTCTAGCTCCGCCCACATCACTGAATAATCAGAACTCTAGCTCCGCCCACACCACTGAGAATAATCAGAACTCTAGCTCCGCCCACATCACTGAATAATCAGAACTCTAGCTCCGCCCACACACTGAATAATCAGAACTCTAGCTCCGCCCACACACTGAATAATCAGAACTCTAGCTCCGCCCACATCACTGAATAATCAGAACTCTAGCTCCGCCCACACCACTGAATAATCAGAACTCTAGCTCCGCCCACATCACTGAATAATCAGAACTCTAGCTCCGCCCACATCACTGAATAATCAGAACTCTAGCTCCGCCCACACACTGAATAATCAGAACTCTAGCTCCGCCCACACACTGAATAATCAGAACTCTAGCTCCGCCCACACACTGAATAATCAGAACACCCATGATTGTAAACTATGCTTTTACTATCTAGTAATTGCTGACTCTATTACTCCAACTCTGAGCGAACTCTCTGCTCCTCACCACGGTGCGTCTCAGGTGTTAAATATTAAATTAAATATTTTATTTGTTTACCTGCACGCCATGTGACCACTGACCAACATCACAGACCCAGGAGCATGCGGATGTGTTACTGCAGTCAGAATAAGTGTGTAAGCGTCAGAGATGTGAGTGTGTGTCATGAGCTCACCGGTGTCAGAGGTGTGTGTGTGTGTATCGTGAGCTCACCGGTGTCAGAGGTGTGTGTGTGTGTCGTGAGCTCACCGGTGTCAGAGGTGTGTGTGTGTGTGTGTGTGTGTGAGCTCACCGGTGTGCTGAGGTCTGTGATCATCTTCCCGCGCGTCTTGTTCCTCTCTCTGTGATCGGCCCGCTTCTGTCTCTGCTGCAGGACCCGGTCGCGTGTGGTCCGGTACTCCAGCGCGAACTCGCTGATGATCTTACTGAGGCGCGTCACACTGATGTCCCGCACGCTGTGGGCCGGCTGACCCAGGAACAGCAGGAACGAGTGAAACCTGCCGCGCAAACCAGAGTCATCAATCATCTTTACATCAGATTTAATATTCCGGACATCAGACGTATAACCAGCATCACACTAGACTACAGCCTCTCCGGGCGGATGAGCTTCACCAGGGGAGCTGGAGTGATGTCATTCACCACAGGACGTCTGTAACGGCCAATCACAGGGGGTAATCTCAGTTAAACCAGCAGAAGTGTGAGAGTAACGAGAGTTACACACCGCCGTCATGTGTGTGTTACGCTGCTTCCTGATATCACGTGCACACACATGTAACCTATATTTATATATATAAAACAGTTATGTCCGGTCGAACCATGTCTTAATTAACTTCAGATTGGATATGCTGGTAATAGGCACTTAGCTAACGCTAAAGATGTGTCGTGGCGCTAACGAGTGCGTTTGATCTTCTCTCTGATCTGAACGGTGTGTGTGTGTGTGTGAAACACGTGAGTTTTGCGTCCCGGCGTCTCGAACGCTTCATCAAGCGCCTCCACACTCGGAAAACTACTTTTAAACAGGAAATGACGGAATATTTACGCACAGCGGGACTAGCATCACCTGAGCTCATTTCCCCGGACCTTACTGAAGCTAAAGGTCTCTGTAATCTTTACAGCGCTGTCCGTGATGAGTTGTCCCACTGAGATGCACATTGGGAAGCTCTGCTAATGATCACAGTGATGTCACACTCGCCCCGTCCCGCGCTAGGCTTCACCTGTTCATGACTCTGCGGTGCACGATCTTCAGGATGATGATCCTCTCGGCGCAGTCCTTCAGGAAGTCCGACATCTTCTGCTTCAGCGCCGGCTTCATCTCGTGCTTCGCGATGACTTTCAGGTGATCCCATGATGCTTTGCAGCGCCACTCCATCTGGGTCAGGCTCTCCTGCAGCTGATCGAAATCCACCTGCAGAACGACACACACACACACACACACACGTCGACCGGATAGTGTGACAGCTTTCACTCATATCTATATATATATATATCTTTTTTTTGTTCTAAATGGTTTTAGGTTCATGCAGAAGACCATCAGTCTCCAGAACATTCATCACAGGTTTAGAAACGTGTGTTAAACAGTCAGTAAAGCACCTGAGGCCTGAAAGCCTGCTGTCACTGCGTGTGTGTGTGTGTTAGAGTGAGTGTGTGTGAGTTTGTGTGTGTGTGTCGCACCTTGGCGGAGCGCGTGAGGGCCCCGATCTCGGAGTACAGGTCAGTGTGTGTGTGTGTGTGTGTGTGTGTGTGTGTCTCACCTTGGCGGAGCGTGTGAGGGCCCCGATCTCGGAGTACAGGTCAGTGTGTGTGTGTGTGTGTGTGTGTGTGTGTGTCGCACCTTGGCGGAGCGTGTGAGGGCCCCGATCTCGGAGTACAGGTCAGTGTGTGTGTGTGTGTGTCTCACCTTGGCGGAGCGTGTAAGGGCCCCGATCTCGGAGTACAGGTCAGTGTGTGTGTGTGTGTCTCACCTTGGCGGAGCGTGTGAGGGCCCCGATCTCGGAGTACAGGTCAGTGTGTGTGTGTGTGTGTGTGTGTGTGTCTCACCTTGGCGGAGCGTGTAAGGGCCCCGATCTCGGAGTACAGGTCAGTGTGTGTGTGTGTGTGTGTGTGTGTGTCGCACCTTGGCGGAGCGTGTGAGGGCCCCGATCTCGGAGTACAGGTCAGTGTGTGTGTGTGTGTGTGTGTGTGTGTGTGTGTCTCACCTTGGCGGAGCGTGTGAGGGCCCCGATCTCGGAGTAAAGGTCAGTGTGTGTGTGTGTGTGTGTGTGTGTGTGTCTCACCTTGGCGGAGCGTGTGAGGGCCCCGATCTCGGAGTACAGGTCAGTGTGTGTGTGTGTGTGTGTGTGTGTGTCTCACCTTGGCGGAGCGTGTGAGGGCCCCGATCTCGGAGTACAGGTCAGTGTGTGTGTGTGTGTGTGTGTGTCTCACCTTGGCGGAGCGTGTGAGGGCCCCGATCTCGGAGTACAGGTCAGTGTGTGTGTGTGTGTGTGTGTGTGTGTCTCACCTTGGCGGAGCGTGTAAGGGCCCCGATCTCGGAGTACAGGTCAGTGTGTGTGTGTGTGTGTGTGTGTGTGTGTCGCACCTTGGCGGAGCGTGTGAGGGCCCCGATCTCGGAGTACAGGTCAGTGTGTGTGTGTGTGTGTGTGTGTGTCTCACCTTGGCGCAGCGTGTGAGGGCCCCGATCTCGGAGTACAGGTCAGTGTGTGTGTGTGTGTGTGTGTGTCTCACCTTGGCGGAGCGTGTGAGGGCCCCGATCTCGGAGTACAGGTCAGTGTGTGTGTGTGTGTGTGTGTGTGTCTCACCTTGGCGGAGCGTGTGAGGGCCCCGATCTCGGAGTACAGGTCAGTGTGTGTGTGTGTGTGTGTGTCTCACCTTGGCGGAGCGTGTAAGGGCCCCGATCTCGGAGTACAGGTCAGTGTGTGTGTGTGTGTGTGTGTGTGTCTCACCTTGGCGGAGCGTGTTAGGGCCCCGATCTCGGAGTACAGGTCAGTGTGTGTGTGTGTGTGTGTGTGTGTGTCTCACCTTGGCGGAGCGTGTGAGGGCCCCGATCTCGGAGTACAGGTCAGTGTGTGTGTGTGTGTGTGTCTCACCTTGGCGGAGCGTGTGAGGGCCCCGATCTCGGAGTACAGGTCGGTGTGTGTGTGTGTGTGTGTGTGTGTCTCTCCTTGGCGGAGCGTGTAAGGGCCCCGATCTCGGAGTACAGGTCAGTGTGTGTGTGTGTGTGTGTGTGTGTGTCTCACCTTGGCGGAGCGTGTGAGGGCCCCGATCTCGGAGTACAGGTCAGTGTGTGTGTGTGTGTGTGTGTCTCACCTTGGCGGAGCGTGTGAGGGCCCCGATCTCGGAGTACAGGTCAGTGTGTTTGTGTGTGTGTGTGTGTGTCTCACCTTGGCGGAGCGTGTAAGAGCCCCGATCTCGGAGTACAGGTCAGTGTGTGTGTGTGTGTGTGTCTCAACTTGGCGGAGCGTGTGAGGGCCCCGATCTCGGAGTACAGGTCAGTGTGTGTGTGTGTGTGTGTGTGTGTGTCTCACCTTGGCGGAGCGTGTGAGGGCCCCGATCTCGGAGTACAGGTCAGTGTGTGTGTGTGTGTGTGTGTGTCTCACCTTGGCGGAGCGTGTGAGGGCCCCGATCTCGGAGTACAGGTCAGTGTGTGTGTGTGTGTGTGTGTGTGTGTGTGTCGCACCTTGGCGGAGCGTGTAAGGGCCCCGATCTCGGAGTACAGGTCAGTGTGTGTGTGTGTGTCGCACCTTGGCGGAGCGTGTGAGGGCCCCGATCTCGGAGTACAGGTCAGTGTGTGTGTGTGTGTGTGTGTGTGTCGCACCTTGGCGGAGCGTGTGAGGGCCCCGATCTCGGAGTACAGGTCAGTGTGTGTGTGTGTGTGTGTGTGTGTCTCACCTTGGCGGAGCGTGTAAGGGCCCCGATCTCGGAGTACAGGTCAGTGTGTGTGTGTGTGTGTGTGTGTGTGTCGCACCTTGGCGGAGCGTGTGAGGGCCCCGATCTCGGAGTACAGGTCAGTGTGTGTGTGTGTGTGTGTGTGTGTCTCACCTTGGCGGAGCGTGTGAGGGCCCCGATCTCGGAGTACAGGTCAGTGTGTGTGTGTGTGTGTGTGTGTGTCTCACCTTGGCGGAGCGTGTGAGGGCCCCTATCTCGGAGTACAGGTCAGTGTGTGTGTGTGTGTGTGTGTGTGTGTCTCACCTTGGCGGAGCGTGTAAGGGCCCCGATCTCGGAGTACAGGTCAGTGTGTGTGTGTGTGTGTGTGTGTCTCACCTTGGCGGAGCGTGTGAGGGCCCCTATCTCGGAGTACAGGTCAGTGTGTGTGTTTGTGTGTGTGTGTGTCTCACCTTGGCGGAGCGTGTAAGGGCCCCGATCTCGGAGTACAGGTCAGTGTGTGTGTGTGTGTGTGTGTGTGTGTGTGTGTGTGTGTCTCACCTTGGCGGAGCGTGTGAGGGCCCCTATCTCGGAGTACAGGTCAGTGTGTGTGTTTGTGTGTGTGTGTGTCTCACCTTGGCGGAGCGTGTAAGGGCCCCGATCTCGGAGTACAGGTCAGTGTGTGTGTGTGTGTGTCTCACCTTGGCGGAGCGTGTAAGGGCCCCGATCTCGGAGTACAGGTCAGTGTGTGTGTGTGTGTGTGTGTGTGTCTCACCTTGGCGGAGCGTGTGAGGGCCCCGATCTCGGAGTACAGGTCTGTGTGTGTGTGTGTGTGTGTGTGTGTCGCACCTTGGCGGAGCGTGTGAGGGCCCCGATCTCGGAGTACAGGTCAGTGTGTGTGTGTGTGTGTGTGTGTGTGTGTCGCACCTTGGCGGAGCGTGTGAGGGCCCCGATCTCGGAGTACAGGTCAGTGTGTGTGTGTGTGTGTGTGTGTGTCTCACCTTGGCGGAGCGTGTAAGGGCCCCGATCTCGGAGTACAGGTCAGTGTGTGTGTGTGTGTCTCACCTTGGCGGAGCGTGTGAGGGCCCCGATCTCGGAGTACAGGTCTGTGTGTGTGTGTGTGTGTGTGTGTGTGTGTCGCACCTTGGCGGAGCGTGTGAGGGCCCCGATCTCGGAGTACAGGTCTGTGTGTGTGTGTGTGTGTGTGTGTGTGTGTGTGTGTTCACTGCTGGACCTGGCTGAAACTCCTGACAGGCCCCATCGCAGGACAGCACTGGTGGCCCTGGAGCTCGCAAAATATAACATCGACATAGCAGCTCTCAGCGAGACCAGACTACATGGGGAGGACTCCCTTGCAGAGGTTGGTGCTGGGTACACCTTCTTCTGGAAGGGGGTCCCTAAAGGCACTCGCCGTAACCATGGAGTTGGCTTTGCTGTAAAGTCTAAACTGCTGCAGCGCATTCCGGAATCCCCCATCGGCATCAATGAAAGACTGATGACATGGCGCATTCCCCTGGCAAAGGAACGCTTTGCCACTCTCATCAGTGCATACGCTCCAACTCTTGATGCCGAACACAACATCAAAGAGGATTTCTACAGAGCTCTTGATGCCATCTTACAGAAAACCCCAGCTACGGACAGGCTCATACTCATGGGAGATTTCAATGCTAGAGTGGGCACGGAGCACCTGGTATGGAATAAAGTCATTGGCCAGCATGGTGTGGGGAAAATGAACCACAACGGGCTCAGACTCCTCTCCCTCTGTGCAGAGCACCAGCTGGTCATTACTAACACCGTCTTCCAGATGAAGAACAGGCTTAAGACCACCTGGCAGCACCCCCGCTCAAAACACTGGCATCTTCTTGACTACGTGATTGTCCGTCAAAAGGACAGACAAGAGGTCCTTACGACCCGTGTTATGCGCGGAGCTGAGTGCTGGACTGACCACCTCATGGTCAGATCCAAACTACTCATGAGCATTCAACCCCGTGGCCCGAGGATGGCTCCAAACAAGAAACTCAACTGTACAGCGCTGAATAGCCTTACCACCAAAGATAACCTCCGACGGCTACTTGCTGAAAACCTCAGCAAGATCCCAGAGGAATCAACCGACTGGCCAGCATTGCGCCAGGCTATTCATAGCGCAGCCACAGAGGCGCTAGGCCAATCAAGGAAACACCACCAGGACTGGTTTGACTGTAACTCAGCTGAGATACAGTCACTCCTAAAAACCAAACATGAGGCCCACAAAGCTCTCCTGTCCTGCCCTGGATCTCCCACCCTTAAAACCTCCTTCATTGCTGCAAGAACAGCAACCCAGCGAGCCCTCAGGACTATGGAGGACACCTGGTGGGTGCAAAAGGCGCGAGAAATCCAGAACCTGGCAGACTGCAACAACAGTCATGGCTTTTACGATGCCATAAAAGCATTGTACGGCCCCAGGAAGCGGGTGATTGCCCCAGTCCGATCAGCTGACGGCGCCATCCTCTTTAAGGACCGCCACGAGATTCTTGCCCGTTGGGCAAATCATTTTGACAGTCTCCTCAACCACGTCAACCCTGTCGACCCACATATTCTGGATAATCTCCCAGACCTGCCACCTACCATGCACCTGGACACCCCACCACTTTACTCAGAACTCCGGCAAGCTATTGCAGGGCTGAAGAACAACAAAAGCGCTGGACCCGATGGAATCCCTGCAGAGGTTTTTAAATACGGAGGATACCTCCTCACGTGTCGCCTGCACCTCCTGATCCAAAACATCTGGGAACATGGGATCCTCCCACAGGACTGGAAGGATGCTAACATCGTGGTAATTTACAAGCAGAAAGGAGACCGTGCAGTCTGCGGCAACAGCCGAGGAATATCTCTCCTCTCCATCGCAGGGAAAGTCCTGGCCAAGATCATGCTCAGCAGACTGGTTGATCACATCTCGGAAGCTGTGCTTCCGGAAACTCAGTGTGGCTTCCGGAAGACCAGATCCACGACAGACATGGTTTTTGTCTTGAGGCAGCTGATGGAGAAGAGCCGAGAACATCACAAAGACCTTTACGTTGCCTTAATCGACCTCAGCAAAGCTTTTGACACCATCAACCGTGAACTGCTCTGGAAACACCTCTCCAAACTTGGGGTACCACCCAAGTTTCTCCGCATCCTACAGCAACTGCATGATGGGATGCAAGCCAGAGTGCTCACTGGAGAACTCCAGTCAGAGTCCTTCGAGGTAAACGTTGGGGTGAAGCAAGGCTGTGTCTTGGCTCCGGTGCTCTTTAACATCCTCCTCTCTGCCATCACCTGCCTCTTCCACCGTGTCATGGGACATGAAGACGGTGTCCATGTGGAATACCGACTTGACGGAAGCCTCTTCAACATACGTCGGCTCCAGGCCCGCACAAAGACAAAGACCCGCCAAATCTGTGAGCTTCAGTATGCTGATGACTGTGCCGTCTTAGCTCACAGCCCAGACTCTATGCAGCACGCCCTCAACACAATATCCCGTCTGTACCAATCCTTTGGCCTACAGGTCAACATTCAAAAAACCGAGGTCATGTCCCATCTCACTACCTCCGCCCCCACACCCCCCAGTTTTCACATAAACGGCGTTCCACTTAAAACAGTGGACCACTTTACCTACCTCGGCTCCACTTTGTCCTCATTCTGCTCCCTGGACAAAGAAATACACACCCGGATAAATAAAGCCTCATCATCTTTTGGACGCCTACGCAGCAGGGTTTTTGAAAACCGTAACCTGAAGGTCAGTACCAAGGTTGCTGTTTACAATGCGGTATGTGTCTCTACTCTGCTCTACGGGGCAGAGTCATGGACCCCATACCGCCAGCACATCATCAACCTAGAGGCCTTCCATATTCGCTGCCTACAGAAGATCCTCAGGTTGTCCTGGGAAGACCGAATCCCCCATACAGTCATCCTCAGCAACACTGACTCAATCTGTATGGAAGCAGCTGTTGCCAAAAAACATCTGCGTTGGATAGGGCACACCATACGCATGCCTGAACACCGATTGCCCCGTCAAGTCCTCTACAGTCAACTAATGGGCGCAAAGCGGTCCGCTGGAGGGCAAAAGCGGCGCTTTAAGGACTACACCAGGGACATCCTAAAGAGAGCGAACATTCCCCCCACGCAGCTTGAATCACTGGCACTCGACAGACCTGCCTGGCATGTCACCTGTGCAACTGCAATCTCTCAAATACATCAAACCAACCAAGACCGACGATCCGAGAGGCGCATTAAGAGACACCAGTGGGCGGCTGGTACCCCCCTGGTGTCTGGTTTCCCTTGCTCCATCTGCGGACGAGTGTGCGGCTCAAGGATCGGACTCAACGCCCACGAGAAGTGGCACCAGCGGCAAGGTCGCTAAACCCACCCCCCTCCCACCCCCACCCCCTGGAGCAAGCGTCATCATCGTACACGATGGACAGCTAAGAAGTGTGTGTGTGTGTGTGTCGCACCTTGGCGGAGCGTGTGAGGGCCCCGATCTCGGAGTACAGGTCAGTGTGTGTGTGTGTGTCTCACCTTGGCGGAGCGTGTGAGGGCCCCGATCTCGGAGTACAGGTCAGTGTGTGTGTGTGTGTGTGTGTGTGTGTGTGTGTGTCTCACCTTGGCGGAGCGTGTGAGGGCCCCGATCTCGGAGTACAGGTCTGTGTGTGTGTGTGTCTCACCTTGGCGGAGCGTGTAAGGGCCCCGATCTCGGAGTACAGGTCAGTGTGTGTGTGTGTGTGTGTGTGTGTGTGTGTCTCACCTTGGCGGAGCGTGTGAGGGCCCCGATCTCGGAGTACAGGTCTGTGTGTGTGTGTGTGTGTGTGTGTGTGTGTCTCACCTTGGCGGAGCGTGTGAGGGCCCCGATCTCGGAGTACAGGTCAGTGTGTGTGTGTGTGTGTGTGTGTGTGTGTCTCACCTTGGCGGAGCGTGTGAGGGCCCCGATCTCGGAGTACAGGTCAGTGTGTGTGTGTGTGTGTGTCTCACCTTGGCGGAGCGTGTGAGGGCCCCGATCTCGGAGTACAGGTCAGTGTGTGTGTGTGTGTGTGTCTCACCTTGGCGGAGCGTGTGAGGGCCCCGATCTCGGAGTACAGGTCAGTGTGTGTGTGTGTGTGTGTGTGTGTGTGTGTGTCTCACCTTGGCGGAGCGTGTGAGGGCCCCGATCTCGGAGTACAGGTCAGTGTGTGTGTGTGTGTGTGTGTGTGTGTGTCGCACCTTGGCGGAGCGTGTGAGGGCCCCGATCTCGGAGTACAGGTCAGTGTGTGTGTGTGTGTGTGTGTGTCTCACCTTGGCGGAGCGTGTGAGGGCCCCGATCTCGGAGTACAGGTCAGTGTGTGTGTGTGTGTGTGTCGCACCTTGGCGGAGCGTGTGAGGGCCCCGATCTCGGAGTACAGGTCAGTGTGTGTGTGTGTGTGTGTGTGTCTCACCTTGGCGGAGCGTGTGAGGGCCCCTATCTCGGAGTACAGGTCAGTGCTGTCGGGGCAGTTCTCCACCACGAGGCCGCAGACGTGATGCAGGAGAGACTGCTTGTGCACCGTGTCCTTCACCTCAGGAACCTTCTCCAGATAACTCAGATCGAAGCCTTTCGCCTGCACACACACACACACACACACACACACACACACACACACACACACACACACACACACACACACACACACACACACACACACACACATCACGACTGAACATCGAACACCAGCGCTCAGAGCTCACAGCAAACCTCACAGAACCTTTGTAATATAATTAATCTAAACACAAATGTATGTAATATTTAAAGGTGCGTTGTGTAATATTTAGGAGGATCTGCAATATCATACAGGGATGGCGATTTCAAAACACTGCTTCATGAAGCTTCATTCGCCGCTGATGATCTCTGTCAACCCATGATCACGAGGAGTCACTGTCTGTGGGGTTTACCTGATCTCTGATCAGTTTTATACATTTGTAGACGTTGCAATTAGACATTAGCATCATTAAAATGAGTAATGGTAGTTAATGGTCTTATTGGCCTGTTCATCTGAGCCATTCATGGAACAAACAAAACAAACCCTGACAATTGATTAAAGAACATATAGACACTTGATAATCGTATTAGATGATTAGATCATTGCATTTGAAAGATTTCACTTTAAATAAAAAATAGATTTGCAATAGATTTTTAAAAGTTTGTTTTTTGTTGTTGCATGTTCGGACCAGGGATTTTTGTTGCATTTACAGTGTTCTGACCACTAGAGGTCACTGTGGAGACGAGTGTACGGCACATTTCTGCTTCAGTGTTCAGTGCTGCAATACGCATCCTCACCACTAGATGCCGCTAAAACTTACACAGTGCACCTTTAAGTGTGTGTCGTGTTAAACCTCACGTTAGAGCCGTTCAGGAAGTTTCCGATGGCGAGCAGAGTGGACAGGATAACCCGTAGCGTTTTGTTTTTCTCCAGCTGATCCATGCCCTCCTTCAGGTCCTGTAGCGGCTCAGCCACTTCCTGTCAGAGCGGAAACATTGCATCGGTAATTAGCTGAGCTGTTAAATGCATGATGTCACGTGGAAGATGAGCGGCAAATCGAGCTGCAACCTTCCCGTCTCTCTCTCCCAACACTGAGTGAGTTAAGCTGCAGTTCCTCCACTGGCCACTAGAGGCCGGCTGCAGAAGAGACTCAGTCCCATAGACCCGCATGTTAAAATACACAACTTTACAGCAGAAAAACACATGTTTACAGCCTGGTGCAAAAAGTGCTTTTGGTCTATAGAGCTAATGTTGCACTTCATGACGACTGTGAGGGGGGGAATGTTTTTATAACTCATCCGTTTAAATTATATTAAGCCTTAAAGTTGTGCATAATTAAGGGCGTGGCCCCTTGAGTGACAGGTGGATTGCCGCTGATGTCACTACTAGTGTTTGTCTGCTGTGTGTTAGCGTCACGTCACCTCAGCTAATCCGCCTCGCTGCACATGTTCGTTTATCCGCGAGTGACGCGGCCAAGATGGCGACGGCCGGCTCCGCCCACTTTGGGTTTCAGAAACGCTCTTCAGAAACACTCCGGGTGACGACACACACACTACACACATATTATATACAGTCTGTGGTCTAACACAGGTGACTCTCTGTTTCTGCAGGATCTCAGATGGAGGGGAAAACAAATGTGCTTCTCGTTATTAGAGTCTTTTGTTTGTGGCACACGATGTTCCCCTCAATTAGACTGAAAACATCTCCTGCGTCAGAGGAAAGATAAAACATGGAAAACCTGAGGAATTTAGTTATTTATGAACGCCTTCAAACGGTTTCCACCACTGAATGTGAAGGTGATGCGTAAGTTCAAAGGTCGATTTCCCTGTGACGATTTCAAAACATTGATCTGTTAGTTTGATTATTTCGACTGGGATCCCGTTCTGAAAACATTTAACCACTGTTATTTTATTATCATCGAGTTTTTTTCTTTTAATATGTCTTAATATAGTTTTTATTAATATTATTACAGTTTTAGTTATTTAGTACATCATTAAAGTACACGAAAATGAGAATTTTTTCTTTGGTGACTAGCTTAAATATATATATTTATATTATTTTTATTTATTTTTTATTATTATTTCAAGTCACAAAATGTTTTTTTTTTATGGTTTTACTTTAACTATAATAACCCTGCGTTTAACTTGCATTTAAGTAGCACTTTTGTCAATTTTTTTTTGGAAAGAATTGTCAATTTGTAGTAGAATATAGTTGGATGTACTACTGTTCAAATGAGAAAAGAAATTAATACTTTTATTAATCAGGGATGCATTAAATTGATCAAAAGTGACAGTTAAGACATTTATAAATGTTACAAACGATTCTATTTCAAATAAATGCTGTTCTTTTGAACTTACTATTCATCAAAGAGTTTTGAAAAACAAAATGCAGTTTCCATAAAAATATGAGCTGTTTTCAACACTGATAATAATCATAAATGTTTCTTGATCATCAGATCCTCATATTAGAGTGATTTCTGAAGGATCATGTGACACTGAAGACTGGAGTAATGATGCTGAACATTCAGCTTTGATCACAGGAATAAATTACACTTTACTGTATATTCACATAGAGAACAGCTGATTTACATTAGACTAATATTTCACAGTTTTTGATGTATTTTTGATCTAATAAACACAGCCTTGATGAGCAGAAGAGACTCTTTCAAATAAAGACCCCAAACTTTAGAACCTGATAAATGCTGGTGCCCACTTCTTCAGTTCCAGTGGCTCTCTGACACACGAGTGAACAGATGAACAGGTGAACAGGTGAACAGATGAACAGGTGAACAGATGAACAGGTGAACAGGTGAACAGATGAACAGGTGAACAGATGAACAGGTGAACAGGTGAACAGGTGAACAGATGAACAGATGAACAGGTGAACAGAACAGGTGAACAGATGAACAGGGGAACAGATGAACAGGTGAACAGATGAACAGGTGAACAGATGAACAGGTGAACAGGTGAACAGATGAACAGGTGAACAGATGAACAGGTGAACAGATGAACAGGTGAACAGATGAACAGATGAACAGGTGAACAGATGAACAGGTGAACAGGTGAACAGATGAACAGGTGAACAGGTGAACAGATGAACAGGTGAACAGATGAACAGGTGAACAGATGAACAGGTGAACAGGTGAACAGATGAACAGGTGAACAGGTGAACAGATGAACAGATGAACAGGTGAACAGAACAGGTGAACAGATGAACAGGTGAACAGGTGAACAGGTGAACAGATGAACAGGTGAACAAATGAACAGGTGAACAGAACAGATGAACAGGTGAACAGATGAACAGTTGAACAGGTGAACAGATGAACAGATGAACAGGTGAACAGGTGAACAGATGAACAGGTGAACAGATGAACAGGTGAACAGAACAGATGAACAGATGAACAGGTGAACAGATGAACAGGTGAACAGGTGAACAGATGAACAGGTGAACAGATGAACAGGTGAACAGGTGAACAGGTGAACAGATGAACAGATGAACAGGTGAACAGAACAGGTGAACAGATGAACAGGGGAACAGATGAACAGGTGAACAGATGAACAGGTGAACAGATGAACAGGTGAACAGATGAACAGGTGAACAGATGAACAGGTGAACAGATGAACAGGTGAACAGATGAACAGATGAACAGGTGAACAGATGAACAGGTGAACAGGTGAACAGATGAACAGGTGAACAGGTGAACAGATGAACAGGTGAACAGATGAACAGGTGAACAGATGAACAGGTGAACAGGTGAACAGATGAACAGGTGAACAGATGAACAGATGAACAGGTGAACAGAACAGGTGAACAGATGAACAGATGAACAGGTGAACAGGTGAACAGGTGAACAGATGAACAGGTGAACAAATGAACAGGTGAACAGAACAGATGAACAGGTGAACAGATGAACAGTTGAACAGGTGAACAGATGAACAGATGAACAGGTGAACAGGTGAACAGATGAACAGGTGAACAGATGAACAGGTGAACAGATGAACAGATGAACAGGTGAACAGATGAACAGGTGAACAGGTGAACAGATGAACAGGTGAACAGATGAACAGGTGAACAGGTGAACAGATGAACAGGTGAACAGATGAACAGGTGAACAGGTGAACAGATGAACAGATGAACAGATGAACAGGTGAACAGATGAACAGGTGAACAGGTGAACAGATGAACAGGTGAACAGATGAACAGATGAACAGGTGAACAGATGAACAGGTGAACAGATGAACAGATGAACAGGTGAACAGATGAACAGGTGAACAGATGAACAGGTGAACAGGTGAACAGATGAACAGGTGAACAGATGAACAGGTGAACAGATGAACAGATTAACAGGTGAACATATGAACAGGTGAACAGATGAACAGGTGAACAGGTGAACAGATGAACAGGTGAACAGGTGAACAGGTGAACAGATTAACAGGTGAACATATGAACAGGTGAACAGGTGAACAGATGAACAGATGAGAACAGGTGAACAGGTGAACAGATGAACAGGTGAACAGGTGAACAGGTGAACAGATGAACAGATGAACAGGTGAACAGATGAACAGATGAATAGGTGAACAGGTGAACAGATGAGAACAGGTGAACAGGTGAACAGATGAACAGGTGAACAGATGAACAGGTGAACAGATGAACAGATGAACAGGTGAACAGATGAACAGGTGAACAGATGAACAGGTGAACAGGGGAACAGATGAACAGATGAACAGATGAACAGATGAGAACAGGTGAACAGGTGAACAGATGAACAGGTGAACAGGTGAACAGATGAACAGGTGAACAGAACAGGTGAACAGATGAACAGATGAACAGGTGAAAAGGTGAACAGAACAGGTGAATAGATGAACAGGTGAACAGATGAACAGATGAACAGGTGAACAGATGAACAGGTGAACAGATGAACAGGTGAACAGATGAACAGATGAACAGGTGAACAGATGAACAGATGAACAGGTGAACAGGTGAACAGATGAACAGGTGAACAGGTGAACAGATGAACAGGTGAACAGATGAGAACAGATGAACAGGTGAACAGGTGAACAGGTGAACAGATGAACAGATGAACAGGTGAACAGATGAACAGGTGAACAGGGGAACAGATGAACAGGTGAACAGGTGAACAGGTGAACAGGTGAACAGAACAACAGATGAACAGGTGAACAGATGAACAGGTGAACAGGTGAACAGATGAACAGGTGAACAGGTGAACAGATGAACAGGTGAACAGATGAACAGGTGAACAGAACAGATGAACAGGTGAACAGGTGAACAGATGAACAGGTGAACAGAACAGATGAACAGATGAACAGGTGAACAGATGAACAGGTGAACAGGTGAACAGGTGAACAGAACAGATGAACAGGTGAACAGATGAACAGGTGAACAGATGAACAGATGAACAGGTGAACAGATGAACAGGTGAACAGAACAGATGAACAGATGAACAGGTGAACAGATGAACAGGTGAACAGGGGAACAGATGAACAGGTGAACAGGTGAACAAGTGAACAGGTGAACAGATGAACAGGTGAACAGATGAACAGGTGAACAGGTGAACAGATGAACAGGTGAACAGGTGAACAGATGAACAGATGAACAGGTGAACAGAACAACAGATGAACAGGTGAACAGATGAACAGGTGAACAGATGAACAGGTGAACAAGTGAACAGATGAACAGGTGAACAGAACAGATGAACAGGTGAACAGATGAACAGGTGAACAGAACAGATGAACAGATGAACAGGTGAACAGATGAACAGGTGAACAGGTGAACAGATGAACAGGTGAACAGGTGAACAGGTGAACAGGTGAACAGAACAGATGAACAGGTGAACAGATGAACAGGTGAACAGATGAACAGGTGAACAGATGAACAGATGAACAGGTGAACAGATGAACAGGTGAACAGAACAGATGAACAGATGAACAGGTGAACAGATGAACAGGTGAACAGATGAACAGGTGAACAGGTGAACAGATGAACAGGTGAACAGATGAACAGATGAACAGGTGAACAGATGAACAGGTGAACAGAACAGATGAACAGATGAACAGGTGAACAGATGAACAGATGAACAGGTGAACAGATGAACAGATGAACAGATGAACAGGTGAACAGATGAACAGATGAACAGGTGAACAGATGAACAGATGAACAGATGAACAGGTGAACAGATGAACAGATGAACAGGTGAACAGGTGAACAGGTGAACAGATGAACAGATGAACAGGTGAACAGAACAACAGATGAACAGGTGAACAGATGAACAGGTGAACAGGTGAACAGATGAACAGGTGAACAGGTGAACAGATGAACAGGTGAACAGATGAACAGGTGAACAGATGAACAGGTGAACAGAACAGATGAACAGATGAACAGGTGAACAGATGAACAGGTGAACAGGTGAACAGATGAACAGATGAACAGATGAACAGGTGAACAGAACAGATGAACAGGTGAACAGATGAACAGGTGAACAGATGAACAGGTGAACAGATGAACAGGTGAACAGATGAACAGGTGAACAGAACAGATGAACAGATGAACAGGTGAACAGATGAACAGATGAACAGATGAACAGGTGAACAGATGAACAGGTGAACAGGTGAACAGGTGAACAGATGAACAGGTGAACAGATGAACAGGTGAACAGAACAGATGAACAGATGAACAGATGAACAGATGAACAGGTGAACAGGTGAACAGATGAACAGGTGAACAGGTGAACAGATGAACAGATGAACAGATGAACAGGTGAACAGATGAACAGATGAACAGGTGAACAGATGAACAGGTGAACAGGTGAACAGATGAACAGATGAACAGATGAACAGGTGAACAGATGAACAGGTGAACAGGTGAACAGATGAACAGGTGAACAGGTGAACAGATGAACAGGTGAACAGATGAACAGGTGAACAGATGAACAGGTGAACAGGTGAACAGGTGAACAGATGAACAGGTGAACAGAACAACAGATGAACAGGTGAACAGATGAACAGGTGAACAGGTGAACAGATGAACAGGTGAACAGATGAACAGATGAACAGGTGAACAGAACAGATGAACAGATGAACAGGTGAACAGATGAACAGGTGAACAGGTGAACAGATGAACAGATGAACAGATGAACAGGTGAACAGGTGAACAGAACAGATGAACAGGTGAACAGATGAACAGGTGAACAGATGAACAGGTGAACAGATGAACAGATGAACAGGTGAACAGATGAACAGGTGAACAGAACAGATGAACAGATGAACAGGTGAACAGATGAACAGGTGAACAGATGAACAGGTGAACAGATGAACAGGTGAACAGATGAACAGATGAACAGGTGAACAGATGAACAGGTGAACAGAACAGATGAACAGATGAACAGATGAACAGGTGAACAGATGAACAGATGAACAGGTGAACAGATGAACAGATGAACAGATGAACAGGTGAACAGATGAACAGATGAACAGGTGAACAGATGAACAGATGAACAGATGAACAGGTGAACAGATGAACAGGTGAACAGGTGAACAGATGAACAGATGAACAGAACAACAGATGAACAGGTGAACAGATGAACAGGTGAACAGGTGAACAGATGAACAGGTGAACAGATGAACAGGTGAACAGAACAGATGAACAGATGAACAGGTGAACAGATGAACAGGTGAACAGGTGAACAGATGAACAGATGAACAGATGAACAGGTGAACAGAACAGATGAACAGGTGAACAGATGAACAGGTGAACAGATGAACAGGTGAACAGGTGAACAGGTGAACAGATGAACAGGTGAACAGATGAACAGGTGAACAGAACAGATGAACAGATGAACAGGTGAACAGATGAACAGATGAACAGGTGAACAGATGAACAGGTGAACAGGTGAACAGATGAACAGGTGAACAGATGAACAGGTGAACAGAACAGATGAACAGATGAACAGATGAACAGATGAACAGGTGAACAGATGAACAGATGAACAGATGAACAGGTGAACAGATGAACAGGTGAACAGAACAGATGAACAGATGAACAGGTGAACAGATGAACAGATGAACAGGTGAACAGATGAACAGGTGAACAGGTGAACAGATGAACAGGTGAACAGATGAACAGGTGAACAGAACAGATGAACAGATGAACAGATGAACAGATGAACAGATGAACAGGTGAACAGATGAACAGATGAACAGGTGAACAGATGAACAGGTGAACAGATGAACAGGTGAACAGAACAGATGAACAGATGAACAGATGAACAGATGAACAGGTGAACAGGTGAACAGATGAACAGATGAACAGGTGAACAGATGAACAGATGAACAGGTGAACAGATGAACAGATGAACAGATGAACAGGTGAACAGATGAACAGATGAACAGGTGAACAGATGAACAGGTGAACAGATGAACAGATGCCTCACCTTCTCAGTGGCTTCATAGTCGAGTTTGAAGGCCCAGAGCTGCAGGCGTGCCGAGAGCTCGCTGATGGAGGACAGCGTCAGGAGGAACTGCTCCGCGCTTCCCAGCGGAATATCAGGACTCACCAGCTGAGCTTCCTGGATCCGCTGCGTCTCTTCCTCCGTGGGAATCATCGTCAGGATTTTCTACAGCGGAGAGAGAGAGAGAGAGAGAGGGAGAAAGAGAGAGAGAGAGAGAGAGAAAGAGAGAGAGAGAGAGAGAGAGAGAGAGAGAGAGAGAGAGAGCTTTTACACACATATTTTTGCATTTCAAAATCAGATGAGAATGAGTTTCCCACACAATATTCAGTTTCACTGGGAAAGGTAACATTCTAACATTGTAAAATATTCCAGAAATGTAACATTCTAACATTCTAAAATATTCCAGAAATGTAACATTCTAATATTCTAAATATTCCGTTTAACTGAGAAATGTAACATTCTAACATCCTAAATATCCCTTTTTTATTCACTCAGAAAGGTTACATTCTAAATATTCTGTTTTACTCAAAATGTTACAATCTAATATTCTAAATATTCCAAAAATGTTACATTCTAAAATTCTAAATATATTTTTTTATTCACTCACAAATGATACATTCTAAATATTCAGTTTCACTCAGAAATGTAACATTCTGAGTGAAACTGGTGCTGGTTGAGGAGAGAACCCCTGATATGGTTGTAAAGCGCTTTGGGTGTACAGTAGTACATATGAAAGCGCTATATAAATGCCTCATTCATTCATTCATTCTAAATATCTTTTTTAATTCACTCAGAAAGGTTACATTCTAAATATTCTGTCTCACTCAAAATGTTACAATCTAATATTCTAAATTTTCAAAAAATGTAACATTCTAAATATTGTTTCATTCAGAAATGTAACTTTTCTAATGGTCTAAAATATCCCTTTTTTATTCACTTTTATTCATTTAGAAATGCTACATTCTAAATCAGGGTTCCTGCACACTTTTGAAAGTCAAATTTAAGGCTTTTTAAGACCTTTTTAAGACCTGAAGAAATCAAAATTAATACCGTACATTAGGGCTGTGCAGTATTGACAAAAATATATATTGATATTTTCAACGTTTTGTTGATAATAATTAGATGATATTTTACTGATTGTGTTTTTGTGCTGGTGCCATGGCTGGTTTAGGTCTGTTGTTGACAGCTGACTCACGAAGATATTCATATTTTTCATATTCTATGCAGTGGTCAGTTCACAGCAGTGACAGAAATTAATATTTTAATTAAGGGGCAATATTTGCCACCTTAAATTGATTTTTTCAGGGGCATTTTCACCTATATATGGACATTTTTTCTAAACTTATTTAGAGTTATGCATCACCTTTAATGTCAAATACTATCATTCAAATTAAATTATACAGTAATTATACAATAATACTTAATTATATAATAATCATACAGTACCACTGTTACAGTCAAATTAAATCATTCAATCAAAATCCATCTTTGCAGTGCAGAGGTGACAGAAGCGGCATCAGAAGTGGCATTAATTTATTTACACTCCATTTACAACTGCATAAATAAAGCTATGAGATATATATTTTTAAATCAATATTCAATATTTAAATATGAAATGATTTCTAATTTTAACATTTTATTTAAAGGGTACTTTAAATATGAAACCGCAGCGGCAAATCACTGTCTTAATAAGTGAGTTGAGGGAGTCATTGTCACGGTTGATGAATTCACTGACTGTTCCTTGCGCTGTGTTTATGTGTGTGTATGTGCACGTGTGTAGGCGTGGTCGCTGATTGTCCTCCCGGAGAATCAGCGACAGGTGATACTCGTTTCCAGTGCCTATTTATACTCACCTCATGCATCTTGTGTTTGTCAGATCGTTGTTTGTGGATGTGTCTAGCCTGTTCCAGTTCCTTGGGTCCCAGTCTGTTTCTTCGTTGGATGTTCGCCTCGTTTCATCGTCATCGTGCCTCGTCTTCACGGAGGATTCGCTACACACTGACCGTGCACCTCTGAGTTGCTCACGCAAGCCTGCGTTGCTAACGCTTCTGTTCCTGCACTGTTTCTATTGTTTCTGTGAGTTCGTGAGATCGACTACATCAGACTGAGACTTTGTTCCGGTTATCTTCCTTCACGTTTCTGAGGCTGGCTTATCTTATTGTTCAATAAAGACCAGTTTTACTTGCACTTGTCTCCTCTGTTCACTATCCGTAACAGAACGATCTGACCGCCATGGAGGCAGCAAGTACATCCGAACTCGCGGATTATCTCTCTCACAACTCGGCGCGGATGGATCAGCAGGAGGAGAATCTCACCACCACAAGTCGCGCAGTTCAAGCGTTGGTAACGCAGGTGTCTGGGCTCACCCAGCAAATCCAACAACTAGCCATGCCCACTGCGCCAAACCCACCGCCGCCCCCACCCCCCGCTCCTCCCGCACCTAACCGTCCACACGAGCCCCGTTTACCGACGCCGGAGAACTATTCGGGTGAGCCTAACTACTGCAGAGCCTTTTTAATCAAATGCTCTATGTTTTTTGCCCTACAGCCCCAGACATTTTGTACGGAACAGTCGAAGGTGGCGTTCGTACTTACCCTGCTGTCCGGGCGTGCGGCTCTGTGGGGGACGGCGGTGTGGGAGAGTCAACGAACATGCTGTTCCTCGTTCGCGGCACTCTCGGAAGAGATGAGGAGGGTATTCGACCGAGCAGTCGCAGGGAGAGAAGCGTCTCGTCGGCTCGTGGACCTCACTCAGGGAGAAGGATCTGTCGCTGAGTATTCCATTGAATTTCGTACCCTTGCCGCAGAGTGTCGCTGGAACGAGGAGGCGCAGTGGGATGTCTTCCTGCATGGGCTGGCTGACCGCATCCAACGCGAGATTTACTCCCTGGATCTACCCGCAAGTCTCAACGGATTGATTGACCTGGCTCTGCAAGTGGACGCTCGCCTGCATCGTCTGGAGCAGCGCAACCGTTCCATTCCGATTCCCAGAGATTATGGATTCCACCAAACAAGTGGTCGTGATGCGGTCAGCCCCGTCAACGATCCGGAGCCCATGCAGGTGGGTCGAGCCCGGCTCTCCCGGGAGGAGAGGGAGAGAAGGAGATCCCGGGGATTATGCCTCTATTGCGGAGGTTCGGGGCACTTCATCAATAACTGCCCCGTAAAAGAGCGAGCCCGGCAGTAGAGAAGAGGATTCTGTCGGGCGGGGTCTCCATCCAGAAACCCTCTTCCACCCTCCTTCCGGTGAGATTGCAGTGGGCAACTCAGACTCATCACTGCCAAGCCCTAATCGACTCCGGAGCGGAAGGTAACTTTATGGACTACATCTTAGCACACAAACTTCAGATACCCACCATACCCCTCACCAACAAGATCTCTGTCAACGCACTCAATGGACAAGAATTACCCACAATATCTTACTCCACCGTTCAATTAACACTCATCACTTCCGGCAATCATTCCGAAGAATTGTCTTTTTTGCTCCTTGACTCCCCTACCATCCCCATTGTCCTCGGTCATCCCTGGCTCGTGCAGCATAACCCCAGGGTTATATGGGGACATAACTCCATTTCTGCCTGGAGTACTGAGTGTTATGCGTCTTGTTTAATGTCTGCTGGTTCGTCTCTGTCCAGTTCTGTCTTGCAGGAGGAGCCGGTGAATTTGTCAAACGTGCCCGCTGAGTACCTCAACCTGAAGGAAGTGTTCAGTAAGTCCAGAGCTGCTTCTCTTCCTCCGCATCGTCCCTATGACTGTGCTATAGATCTTCTGCCAGGTACGTCTCCGCCTAAGGTTAAGTTATACTCTCTTTCCATTCCCGAGAGGGAGGCCATGGAGAAATACATTTCTGATTCTCTGACATCCAAGTTCATTCGACCTTCCTCTTCTCCAGCGGGGGCGGGGTTCTTTTTTGTGGGGAAGAAGGACGGTTCCCTGCGACCGTGTTTTGATTACCGGGGGCTGAACAACATCACGGTAAAGAATACCTATCCTTTGCCGTTGATGTCTTCAGCCTTCGAGCGGTTGCAGGGAGCCTCGGTCTTCACTAAATTGGATCTACGCAATGCTTATCATTTGGTCCGCATCAGGAAGGGAGATGAATGGAAAACCGCTTTTAACACCCCCAGGGGGCATTTTGAATATTTGGTCATGCCCTTCGGGCTGTCCAACTCCCCAGCGGTTTTTCAGGCACTCGTCAATGATGTGCTGAGAGACATGGTAGACCAGTTCATATATGTCTACCTGGATGACATATTGATTTTTTCTTCGTCTCTCCAGGAACACGTTCAGCACGTCAGACGAGTGCTTCAGAGGTTGTTAGAGAATGGGCTTTTTGTCAAGGCGGAGAAATGCGCTTTTCATGCACAGTCTGTTCCTTTCCTTGGTCACATCGTCTCGTCTGAGGGAATGCGTATGGACCCCGACAAGATTAAGGCCGTGGTGGATTGGCCAAGTCCAGATTCCCGTAAGGCCCTACTGAGGTTTCTGGGGTTTGCCAATTTTTTACCGACGTTTCATTCGTAATTTCGGCCAACTAGCCGCGCCTCTGACAGCCTTGACCTCCCCCAGGACGACGTTCAGGTGGTCCGATGCAGCCGAGGCTGCATTCGCTAACCTAAAGAGCCGCTTTGTTTCCGCTCCCATTTTGATAGCCCCTGATCCATCACGTCAGTTCGTGGTGGAGGTCGATGCGTCAGAGGTGGGGGTAGGTGCGGTACTCTCCCAACGCTCTCCCTCAGACGACAAGGTACACCCTTGCGCGTTTTTTTCTCATCGCTTGTCGCCTACCGAACGTAACTATGACATTGGTAACAGGGAGTTGTTGGCGGTCAAGCTTGCGTTGGAGGAATGGCGACATTGGTTAGAGGGGTCGGGGGTACCTTTCATAGTCTGGACTGACCACAAGAATCTGGAATACATTCAATCCGCTAAAAGACTCAACTCCAGGCAGGCTCGGTGGGCCCTTTTTTTCGGACGTTTTGATTTTACTCACTCGTACCGCCCGGGTTTCAAAAACATCAAACCCGATTCTTTATCTCGTATTTTTGATCCATCCGCACGCCCGTCTACTCCCGAGTGCATTTTACCCGAGACTCTATTCATCTCCACACTCACATGGGAGGTCGAATCGAAGGTCAAGACGGCCTTAGAAGGGGTAACGCCTCCGCCCGGAGGCCCACCGAATCGATTATTTGTGCCGGAGGGGTTGCGGTCCGACGTTATCCGGTGGGGTCATTGTTCTAACGTAGCATGTCACCCAGGAGTAAACCGCACCAACTTTCTGGTCAAGCAACGATTCTGGTGGCCGTTGATGGCTCGCGACATTCGAGATTTTGTTTTGGCTTGTTCGGTCTGTGCCACTGGTATCTGTGCCAGATGGGTTACTCCAGTGTTTCTCAACCTCTCCTGCAGGGACCCCCTGACAGGCCATGTTTCTGTTTTAACCCTGAAATGGCACACCTGATTCAAGTCATTAAAGGCTTAATGAGTAGTTGACTAATTGATTAATTGAACTATTCCTACTCTAATTACTCATTAAGCCTTTAATTACTTGAATCAGGTGTGCCATTTCAGAGTTAAAACAAAAACATGGCCTGTCAGGGGGTCCCTGCAGGAGAGGTTGAGAAACACTGGGTTACTCCAACCGCTGTCTGTCCCTTCGAGACCTTGGTCCGATATTTCGCTAGATTTTATCACCGCCCTCCCGCCCTCTCAAGGTAAGACGGTTGTTTTGACCGTAGTGGACCGGTTCTCGAAGGCGGCTCATTTCATTCCCTTGGCCAAATTACCATCTGCCAAGGAGACAGCGGTGACTGTCATTGATCACGTCTTTCGTCTACATGGCCTCCCGACGGACGTGGTCTCTGACAGGGGGCCCCAATTTGTGTCCAAATTCTGGCAGGAATTTTGTAAATTACTGGGGGCCACGGTCAGTCTGTCCTCGGCTTACCACCCCCAGAGCAATGGTCAGACCGAGAGAGCCAACCAAGATTTGGAGAGAATGTTGCGATGTGTGGTATCCAAGAATCCTTCCTCCTGGGGTCAACAGCTTTCTATGGTGGAGTACGCACACAACTTGTTGCCAGTGTCATCTACGGGCCTATCACCGTTTGAGTGTAGTTTAGGGTACCAGCCACCTATTTTTCCCAGCCTGGAATCCGAGGTCGCGGTTCCCTCCGCTCACGCCTTCGTCCAGAGGTGTCACCGTACATGGACCAGAGCCCGTGAGACTCTGCTCCAGGTAAGGGCACGCACCAAGGTTAAGGCCGATCGCCACCGGTCAAGACCTCCCGTCTACGTCGTCGGTTCCAAAGTGTGGCTTTCTACCAAGAATATTCCTCTCCGTTCCGTGTCGAATAAATTAGCTCCTAAATTCATTGGCCCGTTTCCTGTCACCAAAGTCATTAGTCCGGTGACAGTCCGACTCAAACTGCATCCTGCGTACAGGAGAATTCATCCCGTGTTCCATGTATCCAAATTAAAGCCCGTATTTTATTCTCCCATTAATCCGCTGGTCCCGGTTCCTCCACCGCCGCGACTCGTAGATGGGGAACCTACTTATTCGGTAAATCGTGTTCTGGACTCAAGGCGGAGGGGACGCGGATTTCAGTATCTGGTGGACTGGGAAGGTTACGGTCCGGAGGAGAGAAGTTGGGTCCCTGCTAGGAACATCCTGGATCAGTCCCTTATTGATGATTACAATCAACAGGTAGGTTCTCCTGGGAGCTCCAGGAGGCGCTCCTAGGGGGAGGGGTACTGTCACGGTTGATGAATTCACTGACTGTTCCTTGCGCTGTTTTTATGTGTGTGTATGTGCACGTGTGTAGGCGTGGTCGCTGATTATCCTCCCGGAGAATCAGCGACATGTGATACTCGTTTCCAGTGCCTATTTATACTCACCTCATGCGTCTTGTGTTTGTCAGATCGTTGTTTGTGGATGTGTCTAGCCTGTTCCAGTTCCTTGGGTCCCAGTCTGTTTCTTCGTTGGATGTTCGCCTCGTTTCATCGTCATCGTGCCTCGTCTTCACGGAGGATTCGCTACACACTGACCGTGCACCTCTGAGTTGCTCACGCAAGCCTGCGTTGCCAACGCTTCTGTTCCTGCACTGTTTCTATTGTTTCTGTGAGTTCGTGAGATCGACTACATCAGACTGAGACTTTGTTCCGGTTATCTTCCTTCACGTTTCTGAGGCTGGCTTATCTTATTGTTCAATAAAGACCAGTTTTACTTGCACTTGTCTCCTCTGTTCACTATCCGTAACAGTCATTCATTCAACCGATTCGTTCAAACGGCTGATTTCAGTCAAGAAATAATCGCTGTCGGTTGCATTGAGACTCTGCTACGGTTTCATTTTGAAATTATAGTCGGCGAAATAAAGGGAAAACAAACAATATTGACAATATTGTGTCTAAAAAGTAACTCAATGTTAACTTATTGTTAATTTAACTGTTGTATAACATAAATATCACAATTGGAATTGTGCACGGGAAAACGGCACTCTTTCTGATGTGATATTCTAATATAAGAACATAATATGATATAAATATAAGACAAAAACTAACTTGGGGACATAACAGTTACACTGCACACATCACGCAGTGAAAGCACGAGAGACAAATGCGATGTCAGCTCGCAGTGCCTCGTACATTGTTAAAACAATGATTACAATATCATAAAAGATAATACACATCGCACACCATACGCACATAAAGAATGAACTTACAACTGAACTGACATTTACGACCTTTCTTCTCCTTCTCTCCTCTCGCGTGCAGGAGACAGTTATGCTGCCGCGACTCGCGAGTGACGCGAAATGTCACGTGAACTAGCAAATCCACAAAGATAGAATAATAAATAAATAAAAATACATACGCTAATTAGATGGTTTTAATTTGGAAAGCTTTTAGATATGTCTAAGTCAAAGTGTCATCTAAAATTTAAGACCTTTCATAAGTAAAAATAAGACTTTATAAGACTTTTTATGGCCTTAAATTTTAAAAATCTAATTTAAGACTTTTTAAGGATCCGCGGGAACCCTGTAAATATTGTGTTTCACTCAAAATGTTACAATCTAACATTCTAAGATATGCAATGTAACAAAAGTAGGAGTTCCTGCACCTCGATGCCCTCTTTGTTGAGCGCGTACTCGTCGAAGTTCAGTATGGCGGTTTTGATGGTGCGCGGCGGAGGAAGAACCGTCAGGCCGATGTTGATGGAGTTGCTGCGTTTGGAATCCAGAATGATAATCTCCTGCCGCTTCCCGTCCGCTGCCGTTTTCTGTTCAACACACACGTATAATCTGATATCACAGCTGTCTCAGGGCTTTCAAACTGGGGGTATATAAAGATAAGATTAAACTAACTAAATTAATTTGATTCCAATAAAAAATGTATTTACATAAATACTATTTTATTTAAATAAATAAGAAATTAATTAATTAATTAGATTAAAATACACTGATTTAAAGAAAATATATATTTTTGAAAAAAAAAAAAGTAATACAAACATTTGCTTAAAATAAATAAATAAATAAAATTGTATTTAAATAAATAAGAAATAAATTAACAAATTATAATAAAATACATTTATTAAAATAAATAAATATTTTTTAAAGAAAAAATAAACTTAATACAAACATTTTATTGAAATAGAATAAATTGATCAAACTAAAATAAATAATACTGATTGAAATAAAGTATCAGTATATAAATTGTAAAAAAATAAATAAATAAATATGAGGTTAAACTAAATAAATAAATTGATTAAAATAAAAACAATTTATTTGCTAAAAAAAAAAGAGACTAAAATACCCCTAACTTACATCTAACAGTAATAAAGTGAGTAGAAAACTAAATATTTTACAAATTTATAAAATTAAATTCTCACAGTATATTAATTGGGTCACTCTCACTCTCACACACACACACACAGTTATATTTCCCCTGCTCACCTTAGCCGCGGGCATCTCCTTGGATTTGCTCTCGAACAGAAGCTCGAGTTTAGCGGTGTCAACTTTGACCGGTTCCAGTCGGGACCAGAGCGACTCTTGGCTCCGCCTGTGGTTTCGGGAGATCCAGTCGGCGGGCCGGACTTCACTCCAGAACAACCGGATGGTCTTCTTCCTCTTCTGGAAGAGCGGCGTTAGCTCCGCCTCCTGCTGAGGAGGGGGCGGGGCCTGGCCGGAGAAGCAGGGAGGGGGCGGCGGCAAGCGGATGCTAAAGATGGGAGGGGGCGGAGCCTGGCTAAACATGGGAGGGGGCGGGGCCTGACAGGCGAACATTGGGGGCGGAGCCGGGAGGTTAAAGGGGCAGGGCGGAGGAGGGGGCGGAGCCAGCAGATCTCCAGAGCTCATTAAACTCCCCGAGTCCAGGACGTCCTGATCGTCCTCGTCTCTGAGGTCGGTGAAGTCGATGTCTCCGATGCGCAGCTCTCGTGGACTCGCCATCAGCTGGTCCCATATGCAGTCCGACTCCTTCTTCACAGGAGGAGGAGGAGGAGGAGGAGGAGGTTCCTGCGTTTCTATTGGTGGAGAACTGAGACCCTTCACCAGCTCTCCGAAGCGCTCGGCGAACGCCCGTACGTTGCTCTGGCTCTCGCCTCGCTGGACTCCGTCAGTCGTGCTAACGCTCTCGTCCTGCGTCGACGCTAACAGATCCTCCTGCTCTTTCTCTCGCTCCTTCTCTTCGCTCGGCTCCTCTTCGCCCTCCTCTTCCTCCGAGGGCTTTTTGCTCTGCGAGTAGAGCATGTCCAGCATGAAGAGTTTGCTGTCGAGGATCTTGTTTCGCTGTTCATTCACGCCACCGCTCTGAGACCACTGACCTGCAGCAAACACACACACACACACACACACACACACACACACACACACATCATACACAGAAACAGAACACCCATCATTCTTCTTTTATTCAGTCTTTCTGTTCTTCACGTTCTCACGTGTGTAAATACATTTAGCTGCATTTTACTCAAAATCAGTGTAGAAACTGTGAAAACACTTCATTGTTTATTATAGTTGAGCATTTTCAAAAAAAATTTGCAATATCATCTTATTTAATATTATATTTAATTGTGTATATTTATATTAACTTATTTAAATATGTTCATCTATAAATTTACATATAACAATTTATATACATTATAATATTTTATGTATTATATATTACTTCGTGATATTTATTATTTAAATTTTATTTGAATATTTAATCATTTTAATGAACTATACATTTTTGTTCAGTTTTAGTTGCATTGATTTTTATAGTTTAGCATTTTCAAATGTCTTTTTATTTCAATATTTAAATTTTTCCATATTTAATTAATTTCATTCATATTTAATTTATAAATTACATTTAATAATATTAATTACTTCAATCTTTCATATTTAATTTGACATTAGATTACATATAAATATGATTCAAAATATTTAATACATATCACATTTAATAAGATTTCAAATTTTAATTTTACTTTAATATTTTAGATTTTTAGTTAACTTTTTATAGTTTAGCATTTACAAATATACTTTTATTTGTAAATTTTCGATTTCTCATATATCATTTTATATATAAATGAAATTATGTATATATATATATATATATATTAATAGTTTTTTATTTAAATTAAGAAATATATTTACACATAAAAACACATCTTGAATTATATTGTATTATGTTTAAATAAAACAAAAAGTATAATAAAACTTAACAACTCTAAAGTTTTAGATGCAGTAATCATTTTTACTACTGACAGTTCAGTTATAATTTCAAGTACACATTTGCATCATGTCATACATAAAATGAAAGTCCATATAAGAGTATGCTGTATAGTGTGTGCAGATATGAGTGTGTGTGCAGATATGAGTGTGTGTGGCCTCACCTGCCTCCGCTCGATCCTCCCTCTCCAGTGTGCTGCTGGCGGAGGACATGCTGGAGGCGGAGCAGTTATCCTTCTCGTTCACCTCTTCGTTCTGTCGTTCTTTATCGCTCAGGATCCCACTGTCCTCCGCTTCTCCATCAGGAGCCTCCCGCTCAGACTCCTCCCCTTCCTCCTCAACCTGCTCCGTGGCCCCGCCCACTTCCAGTTCTGACCCCTCCCCTCTCTCCTCAACCTGCTCCTCGGCTCCGCCCACTTCCTGTTCAGCAGTTCTCTCCTCCACTTCCTGTTCCGGTTCTTCTCCGGGTTCTGTTTGCTTCTCCTCCGGTTCTAGACTCGCCTCCACATCCGGTTCTAGATCATAAGAATTAAATACGA